AGTATAAAGAAGAAGGAACAAACAATACGTTGTCCATCTACAACAACAAAAAAAGGAGAGAAGTCTTCAGGAAATGTTTTCAATAGAGAAAGTTGTTATTATGCTTTAATGTCAGCTGGTTTCGGCCATGTTTTACACTGTAGGGAGACAATGAAAGACATGGAAACAGTTGATTAGAGATGTGAGTTAAATGGTAGCTTAATCTTAAAAAGGTGTTTTCTTCACCCATTGTGGACAATAAGTCTTTCTAGAAAACCAGCTCAAATGAGTGCAAAAACTTTCTGCGAAATTGCCATTTGGGATACTTCAAAATGCGCATAAAAATATGTTACAGACTCACGGCTGCTTTTAGTGTAATTGGTCTTTGCTTTTGGGATCCTAATTGTCATCTCGTTCAGCATCAGCATATCTGCGGATTTGCAAAATGAGCTCAGAAATATTCACAGCTAGTTTACCTTTAAATTCATGGTGTGCTTTAAGTGATGCTCTCCTTGCTGCTGTTGCGAATGCTTGATGTGTGCACAAAAAAAAAAAAAAACACCTGACATGAGAGAAGTTGCTGCTAATCAGCACAAAATATTTCCCAGCGCACTCACAGTGAAGTAGATGTACCTTGAAGGTCACCTCTCTGTGGACAGAGATTGAAAGCGAGTGTGCTTTCATGCTGATCATGTAGCGTAGCGGTGAGAGCGAGCTGTTTGTCTCAGCAGTAAACTCACCTTTAATGATGTTGTCCTCTTCATCCATGTGAGCCAAGAACTTTTCTGCTTTTCAGCACTTAGATCTGAATTTATTTCTTCACCTCTGCAGACGCTGCCGCTCCTTCTCACCTGGTTCGCTTGGATTTTACCTGAGCCGACTTCTTTCCCTCCGTCTCTCTAGTGTTGCTACAGTAACTCATACTCACAACTTTTCCGCTCAGGTTTGTCCCATACTGTATCCCGTCGGCCATGTTAATGGCGTAAGCACGCAGCGGTGAACCTACGTGGCAGCACAAGCGTAAATCGCGGGCACGCTCACGCTCCTCCTGGCATCAGCCATTGCTCCAGCGTGGCCAGATTTGCGTGCTCTCCTCATCTGTTCAGTAGGTGGGGTTGCCATGGAGATGTGCCATTCGCAGTGCTGCTGATGGGAGTGATCGGTCTGCATTGCACGCACACACAAACGCGCGCGCACACACACACACACATACGAGGGCTAAAAATAGAGGGCTGGCCTGAACAGCCTCCCTCTCTGAATATTGATCCTTATCTAATGATGCCTCTGAGGAGAAATGAAAGAGGGCAGAATATCTGAGCGCGGGGCAGACGAGAGAGGCCGGCTTTCATTTTGGGGAAGTGTGAATGTTATGCTGATGTATCACTTCTCCCTCATTAGCCCGATTTCTCCCCAAAGCTCGGACCATTTTTAAAGTGCAAATCTGTTCTCTGATTCGTCTTCTGCAGTCGTGTCGTAGATCCTCAGAGGAGCTGGGTGTTGGTTTTGTGTGAGAGGTCAGCAGCTGTTGAAACTGGACCATTAACCTTATATGTTCATTAGGTGAAAGACACTGGGTAAGATTGATGTGGGACCGTGCAGGTAAATTGCTTCTCATTTGGGGTCGTTTGTCTTTGCTATCGCTCCGGAGTGAAGATGCACCGCGTAGAATCACCTCAGCAGTGAGGCAGGTTTGTCATCTGCTTTGCTCTCAGTCTTGCTTATGAATTGAGAATTAGATAAATTGGGATCACCTTGCTTTGTGATCACCTCCTGCTTTTATCAAACAGCTGACTATAGAGAGATGACAAGAAAGGTCCTCAAACAAAAGCAAACCGAGGACGCTGTGCCTCGTTTTCATCACCATCAGGGTCACTTTCGCATCTCTTGTTCAGTTCAATTGGTCAGACTAAGGATAAAGTTATATATTCCCTTAAAATACACGGAGTAAACCAGAAGCACAATACACATTTGTCTGCATTTAATTTCTACTCTCTCATTGATCTGGGAAAACTCTCACTCTTATGCCCTGATTGTGTTTTAATGGCAAAAATCACGTGTGAAATCACAGAATCTGTGATCGGTCTTTGTTTTGTCACCAGAAACCATGAACTGCTACTTACATGCTCCAGAGCTGCTGTGTATCCTCTTCACTACAGGAGGTGACAGCCACATCTCCGCACAGCAACCCAGATGCTGAAAAATGCAACTTTTGTTAAAGATATCAGTACAATAAGATAAGCCTGTTTGGCTCTTTTGGTGAATGGTGTCAAAGATCTGTAAGGAGTATCTTAACATTTGCTGTGAAACAGAGTAAATGTGTGGGCAGTCCAGACAGCCACAAATTTTAGGCTGCACACAGATGTCTGCAGAGGGGTTTGCATAGATGATGGAATTTACATTACACACGACCATGTGGACATAGAAGAGCATGTATTGATCTTGAGTGTTCCTCCAAAACAAGTTAACCCTCACGCTGCTTTGCAGGGGCACCATCGTTACATCCTAAGTCAATTTGGATTGATTCAATTTTTTTTTTCTCATTTATTTGTTCCCCCCCATAACAGAATTATAATGAGCACAGTCAGACCATTCCCCAGCACTGACACTGTGCTATGGACTGTGCTATGGAGAATGGTGTTTCCCAATAACATTACAGTTTTTGACACAGAACGTCCAGTGAAAAGTGGGACCTGGCTCAACTTATGCTATAACACAACATGCTATCATCCTGTAAAACAGCGGTCTCCACACTTTTTTGCACCACAGACCAGTTTAAAACGACACAGTGTTCTACAGATCAGTCATTGTGAACATAACAAACAATAATCTTTTTTTTTCTATTAAAAAATGTCGTAAAAGAATAAAGTTACTTTTTATTGCTATATATGTGTTTTCTTTTTCTTTTGTCTTGGCATCGAGTCTTTCCCTCTTTTCAAATAAGCTCTCTGGAGATGTTTGTATTTTTATTCATCTGGGCAGCAGTTAGATTGACGGCTCCCTTTAACGGGCGGGCACAAAAACTGACCGAGAAAGAAGCACAGATGGATGTGACGGGAGGACGATCTAGTAATTTTTCAAAATAAAACACCCTACAGACACCGCCGGAAATAAAAAAAGAAAAAAACAACAAAAAAACATTGTTATTCTTTCTGTACAGTCCTGTACCAAATGACCCACGGCCCAGTACCGGTCCACGGCCCAGTGGTTGGGGACCGCTGCTGTACAGCACTGCATTGACCTGTCAGTTATGACCATGCGCAGTCCAGGTAGATAGACTTGTACTGGCATTCCAAAGCATAAAATTGTTGCTGCCATGATAACTACTGAGTAAAGTCTGCCCTGATAATATAATAAACTATAGTTTTGTGGTTTGACCTCTGAAACTTCTAAATCCTTTCTGGATTCCACGTCTCTCTGTTTTGTGCGGCACCACGGCCTCTTGAAAGCAGTGGTCTGAACACTCATTTAAATTACGCCGTTGGAGTTTTCCTGCTCTTCACACAGGCCTGTAAGACAGCAGAACTGTTGTTGTGAAGACCAGCTGAACACAGAGTAAGCAACACATTTGAACTGTTTATGTGTAATTGATTTGTGAAAAGAAAACCGCAAATAAAAATAAAATCAGAGCTCGACTGCTTGGGCTGTGGGTGCGTCTCCACCAGCAGTAGATGTTTTTCTTCTACCGGAATACGCTCACACTGAACTTGTGAGGTGCCAGACGCTCCCGTCACCAGGATGTGTCTAATTGCATCTGCCAAGGTGTGAAAGCGCTCTGCAAAGCTTTAATTATACCTATCTCGCCCACTCGTTTTGTCTGCCGCGCTCGTGCCTGCCTGCGTGACAGCTGAAATCATTAAACATGTCGAGAGGCGAAGACGGGAGAGTCGAACAAATGGGACTGAGAGTTGGGAGTAAAAAGTGGGAGGTCTGAGTTGTGTTGGAAACGTGAAATTCATTGTCATCAGCAGGGGATTGTGAATTGATGGGCTGCTTATCTGCTTATTGTCCCTCATGAGTGTGTGCGTGTATATTTTAGTGTGTGTTGTGTGTAATGTGAAGTGATGGGGCTCAGTGCAGAGAGCTGGAGGAGCAAAAGGTTAATGAAGTGCTGCATTAAGAGCAGTTTGTTAAATTGCTGTCAGGTGGCCTCAGTGCTAAAACAGGAAGATCAGCAAGTCACTAAATTGAATTTGTCCTTACATTGAAATTTCTGCTCAGTATTTATGTGGCTTTGGTCAGCACCCCCATTCGCAATAACTGTGTTCTATACAAGCTAAAAGCTGAGAGCTGGAAACATGTCAACATCTGTAGTCGGAGGTCAGGAGCAGTCGGCCATCTTTAAACCGTGAGATTTACATTAACAGCACTTGATTAGAGGATGAAACACAGAGGAAGGGTAGAAATATTTTCCGATCTGACTCAGTCAACTTTAGCTTAAGGGCTGGATATTGCTTTAGACAATTTTATATCATGTTACCTTACGTTGGAATTTTATTGTTTTTACTTTTTTTATTTAATCATAAACTGTCTGATCAGGAAAACAGAGTTACACTGAAGACTCTGCATTCAAAGCCAACGTTTGGTCTCTGACAAAGTGTTGAACTACCGTTATGAATGAAAACCGTAATGAAATTTGATACCTTACCATATCCATCATAGTTTGCAGACATTGTCCTTACGTTAAACTTTGATCCTTGATACTTACCGCAGTTGTAGACACACACGCATTTTTGTTATTTGTTATTTTTGCGTAAAACCTGTGTTTCTTATCCAGTTGGAGTCAGTGTTAACAACAAGTGTTGCCTTTATGTCAGGTTCTATCGCTGTTATTGGTACATACAAAGCCATCACAACAGATGAAATAAAACCCAGGTCTGAATTTTCATTTTAACTGTAACCAAAAAACAGTTTAGATGTAGCTAGTAATAGTAGAGTTTTTTCTCTTTTCTCTACAGCTGCTGTGGTCATTTACAAATTATTAAAATGCATTCCTCATTCAATCTCATTTGTTTTTCCTCTAGTGTGAACTTCAGAGAGCCGGAGGCGGTGCGAGCGCTCACCTGCACCCTGTTGAAGGAGGACTTTGGTTTGACCATCGAGATCCCTTTGGAGCGCCTCATACCCACCGTCCCCCTGCGCCTCAACTACATCCACTGGGTGGAGGACCTCATTGATGGCCAAAAGCAGCCACGCAGGGGCATTGACATTGGTACCAGTACTACTTCCCGTACATCTTAGTGTGGTGGGGCTGCTTTAGAAGAATCGAGCTGACATTAATTAGTGTTCAGTCCTGGCTTCAGCGATCTCTTCTCATACCTTGTTAAAATACCTTTTTGATGACTCGTAATACTGGTGGTAATATATAAACTTTGCAGTTAATAGTTGAATCGATTAAAAAATATTAACCATTAAGGTAAAAGATGAGGGACATGCATGTCAGAAAATGCGTTGTAGATTACCTGTACCTGAGATTCTTACAGTATAATGAGATGGGAGGTTGCAGCTCGTTTACTGTGTTTCATACAGGAGCTACCTGAGGAAGAGATAACTCGGACTCCGTGTTAGCATGCACAAAGAACCATGGGAATGCTGTTGTCCAAATCCAAATTGGTAAATTCGGAATTGTGTGATCATTTCACTAGTGTTGAGTTTAAATTTTGATTGTTGCTGATGACTGTGGTGGTTTCTGGTGTTTGTGTGGCTGATAGCATTTGGAGAGATTGACAGTCGTCCTCAAATGTATTCATACCCTCCCATTAAAGAAGGAAAATAACAGCTGCCACTGAAATAAGTTGAATTTGACAAAATTAATAATAAATAAAAATGACATGAAAATCATGACATTGCTTTTGAATTGTGGTTCAACTGAAATATTAAAAAAACAAGCAAACAAGCATGATGGGACCCGTAAACTAATATTTTGTTGAAAAACCCTTTGAGTCAATCACTGCAATCAAGTGTTTTCTGTAACTCTCAATCAGACTCCTGCACCTGTTGACAGGTGTTTAGATTTTGTCCCACTGCTCATCAGCAAAGTGCTCTAATTTTTTTTAAAACCACAATTCAAAAGCAATGTCTTATTTCACTAAATTAGAATTTAGCAAGTTTTTATTTAGTATTACTTTTTCAGTTTCTATTTATTTGAGTGACTATTGTGATTTTTGCCTTTTCTTTAATGGAAGAGTATGAATACATCTGAGGACGACTGTACTTAGCAATGGACCACCATGACAGGCTTCTGTAGCAGTTAATGGACCCCAGCAGCATTCCTGCAGCCATGCAATACATTGGGCTGCACCATAGTCCCATTTTTGCTTTTTCTTTCACATTTAACATTTTTCAAATTGGATTTGGGTGCAGTTGACATCTTAAGTTTGTTGCACTTGTTCTTGCTGTCAGTGAACTGCAACAAGTTTCATATGACTGTGTTCACATCTGCAGTGGTAATTCACATGATGTGTAAATTGACTTTGCTGTGAAAAATAGTGCACTTTCCCTTTAAAAACGATGTTATTGACACCTTTTAACATAAAATAACAGACAGTTTCATAAGTCACACTGCTGATTAGTTCTTTTGCGGATTTAAATGTTCACTTGGCTACCCTTGTTTATACTTGTTGTGGCTGCATGCAGCTCAGAGCGCCTCATGAAATGTCAGTCGATGCTCCCAGCACACGAGCCCAGTCATTCCCAGCGTTTCCAGCATTTACAGCCAAACCTCCATCTACATGTCAGTACTTGTTGCCATTCTGTCGATCAGAGAAAATGTTATTCGTCTTTGCGTGTGCGCTGACTGAGCCTGCAGGTATCTGCGTGTCTGCAGGGCCTCAGGTCGCTGATTGGTGACCCCGAACCTTTTTGTAAGCAGACGGAAGCTGTCTGCTCGCTGATGGATCACCACTGGGCTTTTTCTTTTACTAACCAATACCATCTCTGAGCCTGGACTGAATTATGCAGCTTTGGACCTTGTTAGATGTGAATGATTTAATAAAAGCTGCTGGAACAGACATTTATTGTCCATTATGGCCACTAAGTCAAGGATAATTCTTCAAAAACACATCATGTCACGTTTTTGGCCATCCTTCCATCCTTAAGTTACTTACTTTAAACAACACAGCAGCACATTTCCATTTTGTTCAATGACAGCTATACCCATCACCATCGAGAATTCATCAATGTCAAGCTGTGTGTTTCCTCAGGCACCGGGGCGTCGTGTATTTACCCCCTGCTGGGAGCCACAATGAACGGCTGGTACTTCCTCGCCACAGAGGTGGATGACATCTGCTTTGATTACGCTACGAAAAATGTGGAGCAGAACAATCTGTCTGACCTGGTTAAAGGTTAGTGTGATTTACTCACCCTGAAGAACAATTTGTCTCAAGACATTAGATGACCACATTCAGGGAGATTTACCAGATCATGTCTGACCTCCAGCCACTAACTAACCACTATGGGATAACGGTGATTGATAAAATATAGAGTAACCGTAGAAGTAGCTAATATTAGCCACCATACGCTGTGAGTCATATCTGACCTAGTAAGACCGTAGTCGGCTTCATGTCCCTGTGTTGGAGTCATTTTGCTTTAGAGTTGTCATAAATGCAATATCTCAGGAATGCCTTCGGGGAGCTATATTTCTATTTGGCACAGACATTCCCCTTGGGTTTTGGACAAAAATAAACTGATAAGATTTTGATGGTTACCCTCTGAACCCAGAGTAGTTTCTGGGTGTTTTTTTTTTTTTTTTTGTGGGCTGTGTTCTGTGAGCTCATTTTTTCACTGCTATATAAAGTCCTGCACGTCTGTGGAAACAATACAACCATGGCTACAAGTGAAGAGAATCAGAAATGCGTTTTGTGCATTATTGCAATGTTGTAATGCCATAAATCATAAAAAAAAAAATCATACACTTTTTAATGTCATAATACTATTTCCTATCTGCTCTGTGTAAACATAGCCCAGCACAGCTCTGCCCAGGTCAGCTAAAACATCCCGGAATTTTTGGAAATGTGACTGTTGAATGGCCAGGGATGGCAAAAATGTTTTTGATTACAGAATTTATTTACAGCAAATTGTTTGGAATCCTTTTTTTTAAAAAAAAAAAAAGCTATTAAATAAACAAGTAAAATAAAGTGATTTTGATGAAATATAAGAAATTTGAGCTTAGATTGGGTTAATTTTCCAAACAAAACCAAAATGAAATTCACGGAGTGTCAGAAAGAAGAAAATCTAACAATTCTTTTAAATGATTCAATTCATAATAATTGTAATCTTGGACATGCAAAAAGCAAAAACATGTTTTTTAAACCTGCTGGTTGTAGGGTTCAGACGGTTAAAGGTTTCTGTGACTCCATAAAACATGTTTTTACCACAACTCAAGAATTTATTAGAAATTAGTTTTTTTTTTTAAAATTTTACGCAAATATGTTCTAAGATAAAATGATTCAGTAGCTGCATTTTATACGCTCACCTTGAAACTGTAGATCTCTAACTCTAGATCTACTGTAGGAATGCATGATGATTTTGGCATCACAAATTGTGTCGGTTGATAAAAGCTTAAAAATGAAAGGGTGGAATCGGGCCAAAGATGATTATTGGTAGGCATATAATGTTTTTTTTGGCTAAACTTTGCAGGGTTTTTTTTGTAAATGCTACATAAAAGAAATATGTTTCACATTTTTTCATTGTTTCACTTCAGTTTTCACAAATTGAAGTGATTTTATTTTTTTTCCCCAGCGATCTTGTACATTTAAAGTACATTATATTTTATGTCTCCACCTGGCAGTAGCCCATCATGAGAGCAGCCATAATGACATGTTAATTCACTACAGGAGAGACATGATGTTCTCGGCAATGATGTGGAAAAATATGTACATATATTGGTATCAGAAATTGGCCAAAATGAGATGGAAAATATTGCCAAATCCAATATCATGCATCCCTAATCTTCTGTTCTGCCGGCTAGAAGATGTGTGTGAAGCATCAGTGTTTTAGAATTTGTAGCTTCTTTGCAGCAAAATCCACATCTGAAGCATCATCTACTGTCTTTTCTACAAGCTTTACTCGCCAAACATTTGAACACATACAAGAAGTCTGACTGTGTTTTTTGTTTCTCATAATGAATTTACACTTGAAAGTCTTTACTACATATATTATATGAATGTGGACAGACATGGATGTTTGCCTGCAGCTTGACTGGTTGACAGAAGCAGTAATTCTAGTTTGGTCATGGATTCATGCTGTAGGAAGATGATTGGAGTATTTCATAATAAAAGTTTCATTATCCCTCTTTAAGGCCTCAGTATAATTTGTGACAGGATCTAACACAATCAGGGTTTCAGTCGCTGTGACTGGACTACAGCTAAGCTGATAGTTAATTCAATTTTCAAGTAAACATGGTAGATATGTTTCTGCTTCTTAATCATGAGGATTTTCTCTTTGTTCTCTTTGTCTGATGTGATAGTAAATGATCTGACACCAGCATTTTCAGGCTGAGGAACGTTATGCAGGGCATTTTATTTAGTCTTATTGATTTTATGATTTGTAACAATCAGGAAACTGAAAGCTGTCATTTGTAGCCTTACACCATATGGTCTGTTTGAGGTATTTCAAATAGTTTGTTTTGAATTCTAGAGCTACAAAACAGAAAAACTGCAAGTGGTTTGTAGGTGTAAAGAATCACTGTAAGGATTTCTTATCCAGCCATAATTGTAACAGAGCCAGTCTTTGGTCTGCAAAGCTCTGAACTGGCCATTGTGAATGTATCACACAGTCTTGTAACCTAAAACATCCAGCTTACAAATGTTCGTCTCACTTTAAGTGTTTTTTTGGCCTCTTCCAGTCGTCAAAGTCCCACAGAAGACTTTACTGATGGACGCCTTAAAAGAAGAGACTGAAATAGTGTACGACTTCTGCATGTGCAACCCTCCTTTTTTTGCCAACCAGCTGGAAGCGAAGGTCAGTGTTTCCGTGGTTTTGACATTTTAAATGTTAAACAGCGTCCCGTCCTGAACCTTGAAGGTTCAGAGGTCAGTGCGTGAGGGATTTGACTCTGGCCGGAGCAGCTCCAACATTAAACTCTGTTTGTTTACACGATAGTAACAGGCTTCTAATAGGATTTTATCCTAATCTCTGTCTGTCTTGTTGCTCTCTCCAGGGGGTAAACTCCAGGAACTCACGGCGACCTCCTCCCAGTTCAGTGAACACGGGCGGGGTGACGGAGATCATGGCTGAGGGCGGGGAACTGGAGTTTGTCAAGAGGATCATTCATGACAGCCTGCAACTTAAAAAGCGACTGCGGTGAGGAAAAGAGAACTTGGTTGCAGCTGTACTTTTTTTGTGTGTAGAACTGCTTCTCAACCGCATAAACTTCAGGACCACACAGCGACATATTTAAATTCACACATGGATGTAGAGAGCTGCAGTTTTGTTGGTTCTGAAGAGGCTTGGAGAGGTTTAAATGGCCACTAAGTGCACAAGTGAAGGGGAGACACCGAGAGATGAAATGGGCAGATGGGCTGCTGCACATTGATGGAGCTGTCACCCACAGTTGCCTTAATGATTTTGGCACACACTCGCCCTGTGCAGTATCCGGGAGCCCACAGGGAACAGCTGTGTTTGGGTGGATGAGTGGGGGAGTCTCCGGCGGCCATCACTTCACCCTCCCCCGTTACCGGGACTGTCACTGGGGCAGCCGAGTGAGACCCGGGTGAAGGGAGCTGCAGAGTGGTGCTATTAAAACTGATTAGACGTGCTACACCTGCTCGGCCTCCTGCAGAGTGTGCAGTGTGTGTGTGTGTGTGTGTGTGCTGCATGCAGTGGTGTGTGTTTGCATAATGCTTCAGTGGAAAAACGAGCTCCCTGAGAGGAGCTGATGTTAACACCTGCCTGCTCTTGTGTGGCTCTGTGTTACACTCGTGCAGCGAGGAGGCAAAGCCAGAGTTTTATCTAACAGGTTTGAGGCTGCGGACAAACCAACCGGAGCCGCCTGTCACTCCCAAAAGCATGCTGGGACACCAGAGCCACCAGGTGTCCATGGAAACACTGCCAGCCTTTCTGATTGGTCCTTTGAGACACCCCGCCCTGCTCCTCGTTCCCTGCTTTCCACCAAAGGGTAATTACTGTCAGATAGGGGTGTAACATGCAATTGGAAATGAGGTAATACTCCAAAGTCATCGCACCATTGATATGAAAATTACCATCTCTGGTAATAAGATCGTTTTCACGCGTCTGTGCTTCAGAAACGTGAAGAGAGAGGGCTGAATGTGGAAGCTAATGCAGCTGCACTCTTCAGGATTCTTGAAAAAGCCGTAGTGATCGGGGATCTCTTCTGGGTGTTTCCTCCCCACTGAGATGAAAAGTGGCGAACATCTGTGAATATTAGAGCTGTTCAATATTTCATTGTGTCAACTGGGGCTGACACGTTGCTCTCTCCGCCCCTCCACCCTCTGGGCATCCTCATACCTCCCTAACCTGATTGCATGTCGGTGCCCTTTCTTACTGTCAGTCACAAAGTTAAACACTTTGTAGGGTGTAATTTTGTCGAGGAGTTAACGACATGACTGTAAATAAAGAGGGAAATGATAAAATCAGAGCTCCTGAAACCAAAAAAAGGACATAACACTATATTTATAAACTGTGTGGTGTGACTTCTGCATTTTATTAGTATAATAAAAAAAAAATCTGCATTATTAGTGTATTCATCTTAAAATCATGCTTTCCATGAGAGGCCTATTGCTTAGTTATGATGTTGTTTATTGTGAGTGTATGTTTTAGTTAGGTTAAGTTTTTGTTAAAATAAAAGACAATTAAGCTATAATTTGTGCCTGTACTGGCAGAAAAAAGAGAATATCCAACTCCGACTGAAAACTGAATATTTTATCCAGGGCTATTGTGTGTAAAGTCTTTTAATCTTGGTGTTGGGGTTTTTCTTGACATTCAAGGTGTAAACTTAGTTATTTTCAAGAGGCCAAGCACTAAGTTCACCGTTGTAGAGCCAAATCATATTGAACATGCACTTACCCGTATTAGATGAACGTGATGTCAACTTAATGTTAATTTTAATTTACTGCTTCTAGAGGTTGCTTTATTTAGTGAGAGGAGACACTCCACACCACACTGCAACACACTAGTTTGGTATAACCTGATAAATTCTGACCAGGCTGCACAGTTGGTGTTAGTGGTTATTGGGTCTATGCTGGTTTTATTTTGTTAACAGTGCGATCATACAGTCCCCCCCAAAAAATACACATTGGAAAGGGAAACTAAAATAGCTTTTTTACAACTGCATAAACCCATTTTTTAGGACCTGTCAAAATCATATTAAGGACATTTCAAGGCCTAGAAATCAGGCTTTTGGTTTTTAGGATCTGTAAAAAGCCTGTTATTTTAACCGAGCAGCATGCAGAGGACGCGAAAGTAGGTTTTTCATCCCAAATTACAGCCTGCAGTCGTAGTATGTGGCCTGAGAGGTAAAAAGCAGCGCAAAAAAAAAGACTGTACATTTGAGAGCAACCCAGATGAGTGCATCTACAATTTGATCAATTTAAAGTGTCTCTCGGTTGGATTTCGGAAGCTGGACAGTTGGAGGGCTCCGTTTAGAAGATTTAACCGAGTAGATCAAACCGAAAAACATTTGTCCTCACACCCCTGACTGGGCTTTGCATGAATAATCACACGCTTCACCCCTTACATTTTTCCAGGCTGTGGTGATTAAATACAGACCAGATGATTAGCTTTAAATAACATCTTGTGAAAACTACACACTCACTCGGACAAGCTCGGTGAAATTGACCGGACGTCCTTCCTGACTGACTCCCTGATGTGTTTATCTTTCCTCCATCTTCCCGGCAGGACTCTGCTGCTCATTGATCAGGACCAACCTCATGTCTTTATTGCACAGCAGTGATTATTGATCAGGCCTCCACCACGGGACGACTTCAAAACCGCTTTCCCTCCTCTGCGGACCATGCACACCCGGATGTTTTTCTGTCTCTCATGTTTTACTTTGTGCCGCTCCCCGAAGCCCACCTCTGCTCGTTTGATCTCTGCTCAGTGATTCACACCACGGGCCGTCAGCTGCTCGCAGTCACACACAGCTGGCTTATATGGATTCTTTTTTCTGCAGGTGGTACAGCTGCATGTTGGGGAAGAAGTGTAGCCTGGCACCTTTGAAAGAGGAGTTGAGGAAGCAAGGGGTGAGTAGCCAGTGAGACCCAGAACAAAGATAAATGCAAAAAATACATGCACAAACACGGTGAGAGTTGGGAAGCAGCAACAGCTCTTGATCTGTGTTTGTTCATGCGGCAACATGCATGGTTTGATAATGGCTTGTTAAAACAATCTCTGCCTCCCATCTCAGACTCTCCTGTGTATTGATGTTGAGCAGATCGGCCCCTTTCTAATATGCCAGCCAAGCAGTGTCACAAACGAACCATGAATGAGGTTCTGTCAGCAGTGCATGACTGAATCACACGGCACTCTGTAGCTAACATGCATTAGCGTCATTAGCTTAACTAATAGCCCGGCACATGACTCCTGACTGCTGCAAGCCTCTGGTCCGCTGCCAGTCTCTTCCCTCACATGCCCAGAGCAAAAAAGAAAGAGACCCCAGTCGCCCCCCGTCTGCACCTGCCACCTCTCCAGCCTCCTCCAGAGGTTTTAGGCTGCTGTCGCTGTTCATCACAGTGAGTGCAGCCTTGGCGAGCTTCCAGGGAGGAGACTGATGCCTCATCCTGAAGTGTGTGTAAAAAGAAACCTGCTCTAGTTAATATGCTAATGCTTTTATCACCCATTACTCAATTTTCCCTCCAGCGTGTCCTTGTTTCTCTTTGTGTGTTTTTTTTTTTTTTAATTTAACAAATGTGACGTATAAAAACCTCTCTCGGACTCTGAGCTGTTTGCCCTCTGACCCTCATCTCAGTAACCCCCTCCTCCTATTTACTGAGGCAGCGAGCTAGCGACAGTTAAAGTGCTCTGTTAGCACAATGATTTTCACACCAAACGTGTTTATTTTCACACCATGGATCCCTACTCGTTATTTTCTCACCCAGGAAGAGAGAGCCAAAAGTCACAGTGAAAAACCTCTCTGTACATACATCATATAGACCCTTTATATAAATGCAGTCATTCTGTTAATCTGACGCCATCTTAACATGTAGGCTTTTTGTCTGGATGAGCACCGCGGTCACTATTCCATGAAATGTGCAACGTCAATCATACTAGGTCAGAGTAAACCGAGTAAAATTTCCTATCAGACGCCACAAGTTTGAGCTTTAACAAAAAATCACCAAATGCCTTTCTAGTTGTTGTCTACTCTGCTGTATAATTTCTATTACAAACTGAAATGAAATTAAAATAAACCTTTACTGCATTGAAGATCTGTAGCAGGTCAGTTTAATGACAGTCATCAGATGAATGTAACCCAGGTTTAGACAACGTTTATTGCTTCTAGTTGTTTGTAAAAGTCTGTTCTCTGAGTTCATTTCATACCAGACAGCTTCAGGATCCATCTGTGCTTCTCCAAAACAGGAGAGTTTATGTACGTGAAACAATAGCAGTAACTTCCCTAATCACTTATAATTAGAAACAATCCCCCCCATGATGACAGAATTGATCAGAGTTATTATTCCCTATGTTTTGTCATCATTGATTATGATTGCATATTGTACTTATAATAAATAAACTATTAAAAAGGAGAATAACGGGGCGCTGCTATAGCTCACCTGGTAGAGCTGGCATCCCATGTATAGGGGCTGTAGTCCCCGACGCCGTGGGTTCAAGTCCTGCTCCCCCACTTTCCTGTCTCTCTCTCTGACCTATCTAATGAAAAAGTGGGGCCAAAAAATTCTTTAAAAAAAAAAAAAAAAAAAAAAAAGGAGAATAACATGTTTCTTCTAATAGCTAAAAACTTACCAGCATTACTTAAGGCCACTTTTCACACCGTTCTTTGGACAGTGCAATGCTACTTTTTATAATCCGACATACTTTTCTAATGAAGCATACTTGCAGCTTTACAAGCCTTTATAATATTCACTACAAGTGAGAACATCATGACCCAGACAAATCTAATCTCAAAACTAAAAGCAGAAACAAAAATGTAATTGGCAGAAGAAGAGAATCACACTTTATATTACATGTGGAGGTACTATGCTCTAATTTCTCATGCATTTAGAGTTTTGGTCATCACATTGGTTAATTGAGCATTGCAGATATTGAAATGCTGTTTTCACTGTGAGATTATGTGCATTTTTAAGGCATGCATGTGGTGTTGGAATAATCTGAAAGCTGAGTTCCCATCTGTGAAAATTAACAAACATTTCCCCAAGTCAGAGCAGCAACTTGGACAGTAGGCGAAAAGTTGGGTGCATGACTTGCCGAGTTGTTAACGTCATCTATGCAGCAGTGTTCTCCTGTATGTATATCAATTTTATGATAACATTTAATTCATAATATGGTATTAGGGTGCAACCTGTGTCCACATAGTTAGAAAAGTTAGTTATTAGCAGTAACCCTGCCAACAAGTCACGTAAAGCAATATTTAAGTGCTAGCAGCTATCAATGTGTTGTTCAGACACTCAAAGCAAGAAAATACAACACATCCTTTTTGTAGCGTCCACACTGTTTCCACATCTCGACTTAAAAGCACACGAACATGCCAAAGTCAGAAGAACGACTTCCAAACTCAAGAATAGGAGGAGAATGAGACTGGGCAGTAGGCATTGCTATGCTGGTCACATCTGACTGTTTTCTTTGTTCCTGTTGTTCAGGTGCCTAAAGTGACCCACACTGAGTTCTGCCAAGGACGGACCATGCGGTGGGCGCTGGCCTGGAGTTTCTATGATGACGTGATCGTTCCAGTAAGTTCATACAAATGCGTAGTTTAGATTTGTTTGAGTCGTCAGAGCTGGGTAACTAAACTAAGGGCCACGCAAATTGCACTAAAGCAGGTCGTCTCCTTAGAACTGCTCCCTCTGTTCTACCGGTGGATGTTTCCAAAAACCTCCTCCTCAATAATGCACCACCTCTGTCCTGCTCCATCCTCTCTCCACACTGGAGCCTCCTTCCCTCCAGCCCTGTTCCATTATGTGCACTTACTCCATCCTCTGGGGAGATGTTTATGTGATTTCTAACATGCCGTAGCCAGGCAACAGTTGCCAGGGCAGGACTGTGCGCACACACTGTACCGCTGACTTGTCTGGACGGGGATGGAGTTGGAGATAAATGGAAATGGCACAGAGAGGACTAAAAACGATGCAGCAGCGCTGATAGATGGAATCAAACAAAGGCAGGTAAAGGAGGTCGGCAGGTGCAGGAGAGGCTGTGTTATGATGGACTGTTTGTTGCAGTCCTCTCTGTTTTGGCCATTTCAGCACAAAAGCAGTTAAGCAGAATGATTGGCCTACATTTTCTGCCACTACCCTCTCCCTCCTCCTCCACGTTCACGTAGATCCTCTGCCATTTACACTCGGGAGCTGCTCGCCATCATTACCAGGCAGACCCCTCGAGCACGTGTGTTTGTGTGTGTGTGTGTGTGTGTGTGTGTGTGGTTACATGACAAGTTTCTACATGTGCGATTCCGTGCATGGTCGACTACCTAATTCTGCCTGCATGTATGTTTCTATAGTCGTCTGCTACATACGTACATGCATGTGGGTGCTCATTAATGTTACATATAGACTTCAACATATGTGACACGAATGCAGCTGTGACCTACTTAACCCCCTTATTAAAACATCCGCCTGCAGACAACTATCACTGCCACTGTTTTATCTCAGCATTTTTTCTTTTCCAGGTTTGCTTAACTGGGAAGGTAGAAGACTTTTAAGAAAACACTACAACACAACTAATGAACAAATCTAAACATCTGGATTTACAAAGTTTGCCGAAATTTTATCTAAGGAGGAAAATCTGTGGTATGAATGAGCTAAAACTCATTGATTTTAAAGTCAACATGTATTTTTTTGTGTTTGGTTTTCAGAACTAGAAACGACAACATACGACATAAATGCAGGCCAAGATAGAATAAACAGACGTGTGAACATTCTCATGGCTCGTTTTCGTAGAAGTTAGTTTCTTTCGACTTAGATCATTTTTTCCATCACATTAATTTCCTTTTCTCTCTCTCCTTACACCAATTCACCTGTTAAATATTAAATAACTTTTAGCTCTTTTGGCGTTTACAAGCAGTTTTCATCAGATATGTCTCTTCCATCTGTGTTGTAGATATATCACAGCACTGCTGTGTGGAGTATTGCCATAAAACATTTTATAGCTGCATTATATTGTCCTAAAAAGGTGCCAGTGTACTTCATCAGAGCTGCTGGCCAGATGGTCAAACAGCTTCAGAAACCTCCTCCCTGTTGGCAGCTTCCTGACTTTAGAACTGAAGCAGCTGTGATTTGATTCCTGTAAGTGGACGTACACACCCACTTCAGGTTGTGATTGTTCAGTTGTGCTGAGCTACGAAAGTAAGCGAGATGTGAACTTCCCCATTTTCCTGGAGAGATCTGAAAATGAGCTTTATCCCTCATATTTAAGCAAGACAGCATCTCGCTCTGTCATCCTCTAACATCCATGTGAGAGATTTGCTAACAACCATCAACACTTCTGGCTTTTCACGCTGTTGTAGATGAACCAGTTCTTTTCTGACAACTTCAGAAAACATGCATGTGGTTGGCCTACAGGTTGCCACAGAGCCTCCAACATGATTGTTTCCCTCATTTCCCCCTTATTACCAAGAGGGAAACGATGCAGAGGATGTACTGGAGTGAGTCAATGTGGATAAAGAGACAGTGAATACAGACAAAAGGAGGATGCGCATACAGCAGAGTCAGAATAAAAGGACTTGTAGACTGGCAGCTTTATCTGAGCCCTGGGGCTCGTTGTTGCTCATACAGGCCTCTGGCAGGAGGAGGGATCAGGAAGGTCTAGAGTCCATACGGGGGTTTTGGGACTTGACAGAAAGGAAATGGGGGTTGGGAGGAGAGGGGTGATCAGAGTAAGATTTGAAATGTTTGCCTGGAGGTGAAATCGGCAACACTTTGTTTCTCCGTTTTGTGTGTGTGCACGTGTACGCATGGACTGGGCAAGTCAAGATGCATGATTGAATGACATTGAATCTAGAGAGAACAGCTCTTGTCGGACTTGAATTCAAAATTGGGCCAGGCTTTTATTGTATGGTTGTCATCGACTCATAGTGTGCATGTGTGTGTGTGAGAGAGCATGTGGTGAGGTGAGAGTGGGTAAGTGGGATTAATAATAGAGTGAAAGAGCAGCAGAGTCAGAAGAGGATGTGATTCAGTGAAGGGGTGTGTATGTAAAACCGTACACGTGGGTTTCATGCTCTTTGTCTTTAAATCTGTGCGTGTGTGTTTATATGGCAAAGTATTAGGGCGAGAATCTGTGTCAAGGATGTTGCGTACAAACAGACAGGTTCGGCTTGATGGATTTTATTGATTTCCTTTCCTTGTGCAAAGAGCTGCGGGGCTCGTAGAGAGTGGAGGAAAGGGGGAGAGACGTCTGGGACAAACAATAAGAAATAAAAGAGGCTCTAACAAGCAGCCAGACAAGGCAGGGTCCGTTGTCAACCCATTAATTAAAAGTGTCCATCTCTTGTAAATATGCATCTAAAAGGGCCGTCATCTAAATAAAAACCTTCTCCCTGGAGTGAACACTTACTTTGCTTTTTTTTCATCTCTTGACAAAGCAGCAGATACAGAGATGCATTTAGTTATTCATTCAGTTTTTATCTCGAGGAAAGGGAAATTGTAAATAAAGCAAATATTATAAATGGCAGACTACAATAGAAGTCCAACAAAAGTGAAAGAGTAATTGAAACCTGACTCCAGATCAGTGCAGCAGTGTGAAGGTCACAGCCTGCTCCTTCCCTGTGCTGTTTGTAGGTCAGTCGGCCATGCTGTCTGCGCCGTCACCGTACGCTGCTGCTGCTGCTGCTGCTGCAGACCCCCGCTGTCTCCCCACATTCAGTCAGCCTGCAGTGACTCACGAATGCAGCGATTACATTTTGGCTGCAGCGGATGTGCAGTGGACAATCGCTGCAGAGCGTCTGTATTCAGACACAGTTGGGTAATGACCTCCACCGCCATTACAGCGTGACATTAGAGGAGATTAGAAATAAGAAACAGTTTGATTTACTGCAGGTCCAAGTGGAGCGGGAATGGTCTGAGCGCCCTCCTGTGGCGAGTAACAAACATCCCTCCTCTTTAGATTTGTCCTTGATGTGCAGCGAGGATGTGTATCTCTGTGCAGCATTTTTACTGATGATGTTTTTTTTTACTTAACCAATTTTTATTTTAGCAGACAGACGATAATTCTGTTTAGATGAAATACAGCCAAAAGTGTTATTTAAACAAGAAACTTTCTGATGAAAGAACAAGAAGAAAGGGGTAGAAATCGGTGTGAAGCCAGATTTAGCTCTCTGACAGGTTTTCAGTCAGTAGCAGGACAGAGGAAAAACACACATCAGTTACATGGCTGCTTTCATCTTCTGCAACATTTCGCTTCCTCTCCTTGCTGCCCTTTCTCTCTCATGTGTCAGCAATCAGGATTTCACAGATCTTCTGTTTCTTTCCCTCTAATTCATGTTGTGATCTATCCGCCCACCACATGCTAACAATTAGATTTATCCTCTGTTGCCTGATGCTACCAAAAAAAGGAAACTAAACCTTCTCAGTGATGGTGTAAGTTTTTAAACTGTTAGTAGTAAAATGATCTCAAGTATGTATGCTGTAGCGTCCAGCTGTCTGTTTTGTTTACCACCTGATAGTGCATAAGGAGTGTTGAAGTGATGGCTTTGTGTTTATAATGTACACAGTTTGGTAGTTCATGTGCATTTCTTGTAGTTTGTAGAACTACAGTCAAAACAATTGGCTGCTAATTAGTTGTATTTGTGGTGCTGCATTTACAGAAACGGGTGACTGTAGTATGCTTTTATTTGTTCAAAGATTTTCCTTTAGGTGCTTGAAAGTAGTGCATTCCTTAAAACACTACTTTGTTTTCAGACATTTCTAAATTACTCAAAAAGATGTGATCCAGCTCGTACTGAGTAAACGCTGCCCTCTGCTGTCAGCTTTGGTCCTGGGCATGTTTTAACCTGCGATGACTCATGTTATTTCCAGACATCTAAAAATGTAGACCAAAGCCAAACACTGACTGTCGAGCAGCTGGTTTAACTTGAGCTTGTGTCCCAAAGAATGCAACTTATAAACACAGCAGGGCAGAGAACAGTACACAGAACAGACCAGATACGGAAAATAAAGTAAAGCTAACAATGTAACTAGTGTGTATAGAGTGTGGAAAATACACCAAACCAAAACATGGAGTTGGTAACAACAAAAGCGCTAGAAATATTCCAGCAGTATCTAATCTGCAGAATGTTTCAGTGTGTTTACACTTGTTGGAACCAAATTCTTCACTATTGTCACAGCAGTTTTTGCTGCTGGCTTTGTCTGAGTATACCTGCATTTATCATGCATGTGTTATAAAATAGTCTTACTGGCTGTGTGGCCACAAGTATCTGTGGCATTGAAGACCGCCCCCACAATCTCCCCTTTAGACTTGACCTCCTGCCACTCAGTTTGTCTGTTTTTATTGAAATATATCTCTAACTGTTATACATGTTTGGTTGTTGTTTCATCCTATCTAATTGTCTTTGTTTTGTCTCAGTCTCCTCCCAGTAAGAAGCGTAAACTGGAGAAGACACGGAAACCCCTGTCGTTCACGCTACCAGAGCCAGGACTGAAGGAGCTCCAGGCCAAGGCCTCAGCTGCAGGTTGCACTGGAGGCAGTGCTGTGGACAGCGTCACTGCTCTGCTCGAGAAGACGCTCACCGACCTGAAGGTAAACTTTACAGTTGTACTGCCACTCTGTAAACTGTACCAGAACTCATGTACTTTGTGTCAGGAAGCGTCTAATCTTTGTGCAGCATCAATCTAATAGTTGGGTTTTTCTGACCCACTTCTACAACAGCAACTCTGCATATTTGCAGCTAGATGCGCTCTGAATGACAGATGCAGTATAACACAAGAGTAAAATAACCTAAATAAGTTGCTCTACAGTGCTCTCTACACTCTTTCAGTTGAAAGTAGCAATTCAGTCTTTTGCCAGTGGAAATGACATTTTAGTATGTCAAAATGTAATTTTAAAACAATTTAAAAATGTTGTAATATATGTTGTCACATGTAGAAATGATCCAGAATTCCCTTTTCACTATTATGAATAATGATAACAGACATCTGCAATTGATTTTCCATATGTTTAATAAAAGGATTGTGACTAGTACAATTGTAATTTCCTGTCTCAGGTATTTAGAATTGGATTTCTGATATTTGACATATCAATAAAGCATTTTGGATATGTCACCCTAATGTACGCCAAGTCAATTAAACATTTATTAGCTAGACTGGATCTAGGGGTGGGCGATGTGACAAAAATATCATATCACGATTTTTTTATTATAAAATCACGATTTCAATTTTATCACGATCTTACATGTATTTTTAAAACTAAGTGCGGCTGGACCGCTGGATCACTTGTTGCGAAAAACTGGACGTTCTGAACTTTGCATTCAATCTTTTCTCGGCATTTAGAGTAGAGACATGGAATAGCAGTGTTGGAGAAGTATTTTCAGCTGGGCAGCTCGTACCGCAGGTCAACTACTTTGAGCAGGCATTTGAACCCCTCGTTTTCTACTGTCTTGTACGGAATCATATCTTTTTGCAAGATAAAAGGTAACTGCTCCTGTTACCTCTTTCCACCGCTTGCTTGTGTTCTCATATGGAGTGCCTTTATCAAATGCCTGTGTTAATGTCTGTTTGGGTCCAGCTGCTGCTTCTGGCTGCGGTGCTGCCGGTGGTCCCCTCACTGTTTGGCTCTCAGCATACTGTTTAGGGTGCTTTCTCTTCAAGTGATAAAAACAAGTTTGTCGTGTTGCCATCCGACGTGCGAACCGTCTCTGCAAACTTTGCAAATTACCTTTGTTTGTGCTTTGGGGAAAAGCCAAAACAGTTCCATATAATGGAAGTGGAGTTTTTTTTTTTAGCGACCAACTCTTCTGTACATTTTTTAAAACTGAAAAAAAACCCACATTTACCAGGTTTGATCTTAAGCATAGCAATGTCAGGTTTTTTGCTTTTAAAAAAAATAGAATAATAGCTTCTAAAATCAGAGGCTGTGTTTTTAAAAGTCTTTTTGTGGGATAATTTAATCCAGATTTGATCCATGTAGTGGTTTTTAGATCTGGACCTGGTACAGTGGTACAGATGCTCTTTCTTGCATTTTCACTATTAAAATAAATGCTTCACAAATTTAAAAATGGGTTTCAGACAGTCTTCAGGGTTTACCTTAAACATCTAATGGTTTTACATCATTAAAATGTGGGAAAAACAGAATTGGTTACTCAGCGTTATAAATCATTTCCGTTAACTGTCTCTGCCTGAACTGGTTGTTTTGTGCAGTAAACCGCCGCTAATAAAAACTACTGGGTCGCTGTGGTACGTTGCTCCCAATCTGGTCTCGGCCTGATAATCTTGTGTGTTGCTCTGCAGGTGCTGCATAAACGTGTCCCTTGCAGAAAGCAGGAGCAGAGCCTCTTTCTGACAGCTGTGGAGAACACCTGGATCCACGGACGGCAGAAGAAACGTGAACAGAGGCGTCAGTTACGAGAGCTTCCCAGAGCGCCTCACTGTGCTGGAACCAGTTCTCAAACCACCATGGCCACAGCTGCTCCTGGCACACCGCCACCCCCCAATAACCAGCCCACCTCCACACCACACAGCAGCAGCCAGGACGGTAACACCGAGAGCGACACTACATCATCAAATGAGCCAGTTAAAGAAGTAACACCTGACACAACCGGAGACCACAAAGAGATTTCAGAAGATCTAAGAGGTGAGGATGTGGACATGGAGTCCTCGATGTGCACCGAATCCGGACAGGAAGGGGACGCTCAGGAAACTGCTGCTGCAGCAAGTGAACCGCCTGCCAAACGACCCCTGAGCCCCGGCACAGTCGAACACTTCCTGTTCAAGTGTCTGCTGAACGTGATGCTGGAGGAGAGCGATGTAGTGATCGAGATGCACTGGGTCGAGGGTCAGAACAAAGACCTGATGAACCAGCTGTGCACTTACTTGAAGAACATGCTTTTAAAATCTGTCGCAAAGTCCTGAACAATCAGAAAGGTGGGACCTTTTTGTCTTCAAAACTTATGTTCCCATGTGAAATGAGGTATTATTTTTAAAATGATTATTGAGTGCCTATCTTCTGGGAAGTTTCTTTTTGGGGCAGTTATATACAGCTTTTGAAATGTTTTGATAAACTTTGGAAAAACTACTTTTGGTTTTTACAGCAGCAGATTCACAAAATCTGAATTTCTTGTTCTTCTTAGTCTACCTTTTAAGGTGTTATACACTGTACATTAGTATTTTGTCTTAAAGTTGTCAAAACATTTGGAATAAATATACAGTTTTTTAACACTGTTGCACACGGTCATGTTTTTGATGCTGCAGTACCTTTAAATGGCCACAAGAGGAGAGTGTAAGTGTTTCTTCTGTAAGGAACTATTACAGTCATGATCTTTTTTACAAAGATTACAACCTTTAATTTCTGCTTTATTAGACATATTTTGGAATGACTGATCTCTGTTTAGAATGACTGGGCTACATTTTAAATTACGATGCAGCCTGTGTAATTCAGGAAGTTCCTGGAGCCCCTCAGTCTTTCGTGTGCCTGGAGATCCTTCAGTATTGTAGCACACTATTATTACTCTGCTGTAGCCGACTCGCTTCCTCAAGAGAGCCGAGAGAATAACAGGAAAACAGTTCTAAATATCCAGGGTCATGTGTATGTACAAGCACATCCCCTGCTGTCATAGCAAAAAACACAGATCCTGATCATAGCACATGTCCCTCGATCGGTCATGGCCGGACTTTGACTCCATCAGTGTGAGAGAGTCATGTGAGAGGTGGGGAAAGTAGAACTACTGGGTCATAAACAGGCACATTTGTTCTCCTTTTTGTTTAAATAGACTGCTGTAAATAATATGCATATTTAATGCTGTTTCAAAAAGGTTACAACTAGCTAATTGTTATTTATTTCTTCACACTTAGAAACGCTGTTCTGTTGCTGCCACATAGAAAAACATTGCTTTGTAGATAAACTGTAATGAGGTATAAATCAGCCTGGCCTCTGCTGCAATTTTGAGCTGATGTAATAATAGTAATTACATGAATAAATCAACAAGAGCATAAATGATTAGCCAATTATTCAACGGAGTGACAGAAAACTAATCAGAAATAGGCTAGCATTTACCATGTTGCCTCCAGCCACTCAAAAGTAATCATTTGCAGGGTTTTTTGTTTCTTTAACCCGTTTGATACCACTATAAATAAAGAAAGATGTGCCATATCTTTAGGTTTTGTACTGTTTGTTTAAAAGAATAAATACACAATTTTTAAATCATTTTTACAATAAATTATTAATGCAGTCACTAAAAAATGAATAGAATAATCAATAATTAAAACTGTTGGTTGTGGCCTTACGTATAACATACCTACACAATGTTTTTGTGCCAGGCTACATATTGTAATATATACGTCTACTTCACTAGGTTGCAAAGGAACAAGTGATGTTTCCTTAACTAGTTGCCTATTGTGCATGGTGGAAGAATTACTGGAATCCTTTACTTAAATAAAAGATCTCAGTAATTTATTTGAGTAGAAGTACAAGTGTTTTAGCATTAAATTGAAATAAAGTGTTAAAAGTTCAAGTGTTCATTATGCAGAAAGAACCATGTCAAAAATAATGTGTATTACTGAATAATAATATCTGACACACTAATGTACACCTCACTTTTATGCTGCAGCTGGTGGAAATACTTGCAGTTATGTTCACATAGAACTGAGTAATTTCCTCCCAGAGCCTTATAGTCAAGTTTTATAGTCTGATAATAAAGTATATTTTTATTTGTTGATCACATTTTGCATTAATGTTATTATATAAATTATGTTTATTTCAACTAAAATATGAATAAAATGTAAATCCACTGCAGTAACTTAAATTGTAGAGAAAGCTGTCAGAATCATTTACACCAGTCACAAAGCAACAAGTGTAGTTTCCACATGTTGTACCTACTATTGAAACTACTATAAAATGACACTAACATGCCATATGAAGGCATTAGATGGCAGGATTTTAACACATTGTTAAAAAAAAATAAAAATACAGCATCTAAACTCCCTCAAACCGTTGTTTACCGTTACTGACCGTTCCTTCTCTACCATGTCGGTTAACGAACGCTGTTGCCATGTTGATGTGAACTGGTTGCTAAGCGACATACGGTGCGCGGTTAGCAGCTAACGGTTCTGAGCAACACGAGTTACATTTTTCTGACACATGAGCATCGTCAGGCGATTGAAGCACTATTTTTTATTTTATTTATTTATTTTTACAGACGTGACTCATCCCGGAGTCCATGACTGGAGCTTTAAACCCAACAGCCGTCCGCACCGAGCTCCGTGTTTTGTCGTGTTCTCTGTTCGGGGAGGGAGGGCGTCTGTCTGTGGGCGGTTACAAACGGTGCGTGATTCACAAACCTTATTTGTTCGTACTACTTTGAGCGCCATCTTGTTTGTAACTCTTCTACGTAAGTGGCAGAGTTTCTACTGAGGGGGTATCCGATTACCCTTTTTTCCAGCTCCAGACTGGGAACCTCTCCCTGTAGAGCACAGGCGCATATTCCGTTCGCTTTACCGCTTTTCTCGAGAAAATCAAGCCGGCCTTTCCGAGTGGACAGAAATGAGCATCGAAACGCTCCTGGAAGCAGCCAAGTTTTTGGAATTGCAAGCCCAGCAACAACAGAAAGCACGTGGTAAGTTTGTGTTTTATTACAAATACAGGCTATGTTAGACCAACACTGGCAACTAGTCCAGAGTAACAGTGCCATGCTCGAGATACTCAGAGAAAATTAGCGCTGATTTTTATATTTTATGAGTTTGAAGAAACGGTTTAACATTAATCCACTCATGAATTAACAACAGTGTGCATCGCTGGTGTGTTGTCTTTGAATTAGAATTTAATTGTAATCGAAAGAGAAATATGTTTCAGTCACTCTGTGGCCTTTTTGTTTTACTTTCATATTCGTGCTGGTGTGCAGAAGCTGCAGGATTAAGGTGACTCCTGCTTTGCCTCATGTAACAGTTTGTGTCTTAACCTCAATCGCAGCCTTCTGAAGTAGCTGTAAAACACTGTGGCTTTTGCTGCAGTGTCAGGGGTTACTGCATTGAAACCTGCTGCATAGACGTCTGCACAGCTGCATCGCTCTAAACTTCTTCCATCTTTTCTCCTCGTGTAAATACCTGTCAGTGTATTCGGCGCTACCTGCACGCCACTGCTGCGAAGCATTTAAAATCAGAAACATGGGGGAATAAAGGGCGGTGGCGCAGGGAATGCCAAGCTCGCTTTACATAATGACCTGATATCGTCCGCCGGGGATCAAGTGTCTCCGGCTTCAGGCTTTTCCTCTGCTCACATCAGAGCTGCCGTGCGGCCGCCGCCGCCTCACACCGAGCAGCGTTGTGTTGCCGTAACATCGTGTACCTGCGTGTTTCTGTCTGCTTGTGTCTCGTGAAAAGAAAAGAACAACAAACTCGCTGGGCTTTCAGACGCTCGTGGAGGGCTTTGAGTGTCTGTCGATGACGTGTTTCAGCAAGCCACGCCCCCGCGTGTTAGCAGACGACTGGCCCCGCCCCTTTCACCACGTGCGCGCTGGGCAACCCCTCCCAAAGATTGTTTGTGAACAAGATGAGCCACAGCAGCATTTATTTCGGAGCAATCATGCAGTTTTCTCCCTCTACGGCCGTGATTTTTCTAGTGTTTGTCTGAAAAATAGATGCGGACTGAAATTCACCATCCAGAAAATAGAACTTAAATGTTAATGTTAAGACCTTACAGTATCATTAATAATAGAGATTTACCTGACAAAGTTCAAACTTAGGAGCCTATGAAATACATTTTACCAGACTGTGGCTCGTCTCTTATCACGCTAATGTCTGGATGTTGTATGCCAGCACGGTGGAAAGTGGGACAGTTGACACCTTGTAAAACCCGGACAGTTTGATAATATTTAGATCTAGAAAATGAAAGTAAGGTGGTATGTCGGCTGTTTGAGAATAAACTGACATTTAACAACATGACCGGTGCAGTACGTAACCATATTCAGCACAAACACGTGCATGTTAACGCGCTAGGTATTTTAAATATTATTTCATTTTTGTTTCACAAGTTAAGTTTTATAGGACAATGAGCACTGGGCATATGTAGGTACAATGTGTCACACATTTTAGCAGCATTTAAAATCTGATTTGGTTAATAAAGAATGTGATTTTTGGTTTAAAAATGGCTCTTAAATAGTTGCATGCTATATTTCTTTGAACAAAGTTTAACCTTGAGGTTAAAAAGGCAAAATTTTGATGTTTTTTGTATGCCTTCCTACTTTTAGACTCGTCAACTAGTCTGATTTGAAATCTGCTTTAATAAGTCTCCCAAACACTTGGGATATATTTTGTACTTGATGGCACATGTGCACCATAACAAAAGGTGGAAGAGACACGTGACAATAATGTAGGCTCTATGTACTACAATACTGCACCAACCAAAATCAGCACGCGCATAACAGTCACCTTCACAGAGACCTTTACGTCTTAGTAACAGAAAGAACAAGTATTTAAAAAAAAAAATACAGCCTCTGCTTTATAAAAACTATTTTTTTTGTGAGAAAGATGATTCAAAGACTACTGACAGGCGTTTAATAGGACATAACTGTGACAGTGGCCCATATCCATCAACCTTCCCACTGTATTAACAGCACATGTCATCTGTAAATGGTTTGCCAATTTCACATGCTGTCACTCTGCCAGTCTGCCTACTTAGGCTCTTGTGCCCTGGGATGATTTATGTTGTGATTTGGCTCAATAAATAAAATCCAATTGTAGTATTTTTGTAACACTTAGCCCACAGCTCAGATGTGAACAAAAGCAGCCATAAAAGATTATTGCATTCTTCTGGATAGCATATTGACTTCCTGGACACATGACTCAGATGATAAGATTTTCTCCATGATGAATCAAACTACCTCAGTGAAAATCTCAAGAATGGCTCAACAGAGAATTTAGGGTGAATCTCTCCCTTCACACGATGAAGATGTGCTCAAGTAAACAAGCTCATCCTGTACGTTTTACCTAATTTCCTGGGTTGTTTAAGCTTGCATGCCAGTATAAAAGCATGCTGCTATTGAGACTGTAATACACTGTGTACCGATATGGAAAATGAACCCTGAGGAGACAGATGTCTGAAAGATAAAAGTGCTCTTTTTGCAAATGGATGAGCCAAGCAATTTTACAGATTCTGACAAAGACTCTTGAGTTTTAAGTTTAAGGGCGACATTAGTTGTATTGAGAACAGACTTGGAGTGAGAGCTCCTGCTTGTTCCTCTCTCAGCTCCTCCCGCCTTGCTGCATTGGGAAAGCAGAGTCCTCCCCCCTCCTCCTCCCTGCTACTGTAGAGCAGGTCACTGTGTGGAGGAAAGTAGGCCAGTGTTTCTCTATGTGCTGCTGCAGTTATATAATGTCTATAGAAAACCCTCTTGTTGTTTTAAGTGTTTCACTGGTTTTCGATCACAAGAGACACTCCTGTCTGTGTATGTGTCGATGCCACAAACCTGAATTACCCATCTCTCATGACAGAGAATGCAACATCTTCTTAAAGCTGGCCAGCACACTAACCAGAACATCTTGTTCTTTTGTATTTTTTTTACTTTGAAAAAAAGATTTTATTCGTGTAACACCTCATATACACTCTTAAGAAAAGGGCACTGCAGCCTGCTTAATTGGATACGATTAAAATGTTCTCAGGAGCTATTTAGACCTCTCCTTCCTCTTTCACATGCTGAGAAACTTGCAGCACTGTCTATACACATAGTTTTGTCAGGAGAAAGAAAGAATGAATAGAAATATACTATATTTAGCGTCACTTTACATAATAGGCTATTTGCTGCCTTTTAGCTGGAATAGTTGGATGACGGCTCAGTAAAAAGTTTGTTTGTGTGTGTGGAAAAGTAGGGCTTTAATGTTCCTGAACTTTGAACCCTTAACAGCTGGACAAACACAATATCGGTAGATTTTAATCTGTGGGGAACTTACTCAGACCCAGGGGAACATATGAGGTAGTTTCCATTACATAAAGAAGTTTATTCTTCAGAAGTTTAACTAAACTGACTAACGAAAAGTTTATAAAACTGAGTATTTGTTTTTAGAAACACTCCGTAACATCCCAACATTGAGCATGATTTAAATCTAGATAAGTCATTAAAAAAAGCAGGTATCCGTCATAGTGTTGCACACCAAATTTGTAAGGTACAACTTATTAAAACCAATGCAGACTAACAGTCTTTCAATAACGACCACATTCATGGAGTTTGTTTGACTGATTCAGATTGAGGTAGTTAGTGGTTCTGACAGGTGTGCCTATTATTCTGGGTGTTGGCTAAATAACGGTGCTAGCTCTCTGTTCACAACACTACAGTTCAACAGCACAGACAACATCCTCTAAAATCTCTTGAAAACAGCTTCAACAGAAAGAGAACATTATAACCGTCATGAAGATTGGATCTATGCAGAACTGTTGCATCAGAGTGCATTACTTGTAGTTGGATGTATCTAATAAACTGGCAGCTGAGTGCATATTCTTGCTAAAAGTCTGTGATAAATATAGTGGCCATCCTGTATCTTTTTATGTTTATAGTCATGATGTTTCACAGTGTGTAGTTATGTTGTAGGATGTAGTGGTTTCAGGTTGCAAGTTCCTGTTTTTGTTGGTTTTAATCACCAACATTCATATATTTATAAGATCTTGCTTTCAATGGCTTATGATGATGTTACCTAAATCTAATTTAGTCTGTTTTGTCTCTGAATCTGTAGCTTTGCAGTGAGGGGATGAGTGTGTTGTACTGCAGTGGACTGGTCTCCTTCGTAATGATGTTAATGACAACTACTTGTATCTGACATTTCTAACTGTGAACATCACAGCTGCCATAGCAACTACAGCCTTGTTCGACAGCATCCATATATTATGGAGGGGGCGTCCTGAAGATGATTGGATAGCACTGGAAGACTTATGAATCTAGTTCATCTGACTCCTTTTTTGCCAAAATACCAAATACGCACATTACCAAGCGTGTCACAGTTTTATTATTATCTCCAGATAAGTCACATTTACTCCAGTTCTTTCATATGGCTGCAAGGACAGTTTGTTTATTAGAAATCAAAATGTTTGATGCGTACACTTCAAAGATGGCTTAACCTTTTTGTGTGTTTTTATTTTTTATTTTTAAACTTTTTAAAGTGCTTATCAGTTATCATTAACTTCCCATGTGTTTCTATTCTACTCAACAGCATCATACATCCTTGACATAAGTACCATGCTTTCAGAGACCTTTTACTTAAGTAATTGCTACACATGAGTCTTGGTAGTAAGGAGTCCCTCAGGCTTTGTTAGTGGAGATACAGAGCTGAATTGCACTCACCTCCCCTGAACTGTTTGGTTAGTGGAGTGTGACTGGGATTACATTACAGCAAGATGTACCTCCATTAGAGTAACAGCCATCTTTTGTTAGAGTGTGCTTAAAGCTAGGGAAGATTCTTCAGATATAAAAGTGCACGTATGTTTAAATTACAAAACAGGGACAGTAGAAGAGAAGAGCTTCCAATCTACAAACTCAGACTGCAATTTCTGAAAATAAACCGAGAGCCACGAACTATTTCCAAATGATGGAGCACTCACTGCTGTTGCTGCAAGAGTTTTGTCTTTTTGGAGTCATTTGTTTGGTAACGCAGCTGGATTGATAAACAGAAACCTAATGTGTGCTGCTGACATCATGGTGCAGGAGTTTTGGGTCAGGTTCAAAATGTTCTGTTACTGCCACAAGTGAAGCAAAGATACCTGTGGCTTTAAATGTTAAACACTTGACTTGTTACTCTGATTTACTATAATTAGGACAGCCAGGATTAATGCCACTGGGCTGCTTGTAGACCTTGGTTTGTGTATGCTGTGTCTGCTACATGAAGACTTTTTTTCAGTTTCAAAGTTTTCCTCCAAATGTTTTACTTTTTTTGTCAGTAGTTACTTATGCTTCAGAACTAAACATGTGCCCGGTTTATTTTCTTTCACATACTCCTAAATATCCAGTATTGTTGTTGTTTTTATCATATGATAAAGCATATGTGGGCTTTTTCTGTATTGAGGAATTTTTGCCCCCTGAGAAAATAATTTGACCAGTTTTATTAGCTGGGGTTTCATTCACTAAATCAGACATTTGTTGTTAACCAAATGCTCACAAATGACAGGAAAAAGCATAAACTTCTGTTCCTGCCTTTACTGTAAATGGACAAATCATGTTTACTGTTGTGCATAGTTACCCCTTCCCCCAAAGGCAAATTTTGATCCAGGAAAAAACTTTTTAGTGCTGTGGGACTGTGATTTATAGTGTCTTTTGTGTGAATAGGAGGAAACTGTTGGATTTGTTCTGATAAATGACTTTGTTTCTTTCACAGAGGATGAGCTAAAGGAAAGCCTGCGTCTGCAGCAGCTGACAGAGCAGAGGCACAAGGATCTGAACTATAACTCAACAATCCACATCAACAATGTTCATAAAGCAGAGGAGCTCCGCGCTGAGTGCCGCCCAGCACCCATGCAACCCTGTCTGCCTCCTCCCTCCATGCCCATCACCGTCATCCCTATCCCTGTGGTCACCCCTAACCCAACAGGCTCACCCACTCTGCCTGTTTCAACGCTCTCCCCTCCAGCTGCTCCCCCACTGGCCTCCCCAAAAAGAGACCCTCACTCCCCTCAGGAGCAAAGTGCTGCAGCCCTCCTGTGCTCTCCACAACCCAAACCTGACCACCCAACTGTGCTGACCGCCAACCACAACCAGCCGATACAGAATCATCACCATCACCCACAGCTCATCGCCCAAACCACCAACCCTAAAATGCAGCAGCCGACACATCAGCAGCTGGTCCAGCGCTATCCTGGTTCCATCGTCTCACCCTCACAGCAACATGCCTTACTCCCCCATTCGGGCCCTGTGCTTCAGCAGGCCCCCCTACAGAATGGCCCTGTCAGCCGGGGGAGTCCCCCTGATGATGGTCGCCACCTAGACAGCAAAAAGAGGCCTGGAGGGTGAGTGTAAACCTGACAACTCATTTACAATATAATTGAAATGGGGCTGCAACTGAGTCTTGTTTTAAATAGATCTGCTCATCGTCATCATTTCCGGTATAAAAATAATTACCAGGAGTTCAGAGATATTTTTTAAGCCTGAAAACATTATTGCTATTGCATTTCAAACAGACTAAAACGATCAATTATCATCAGTAAAGGCTGTTTATGTAATCATTTCTAAACACTAATCCCAGACCTTATTTTAAAGTATACACTGGGTGCTTTTAATTCTTCAGATTATTCAGCTCAGATAGTAAATTGTACTTTAAATGGTTCATGCATATCACTGAACTATGTGTGAGTAGCAAAGTAATAAACAGCTTTTTTGGTTGATTTTGATTATTCTTGTCATGTTGCCCTTTTGGACATCAAATTTTTATCATGCTCTCATCTGTGCTCTTGCAGGGCAGGCACAAGAGAAGTGCATAACAAGCTTGAGAAAAACAGGTGGGTTCAACCTGTCTGTTTGAATAATAGTGTACTAGTTCTTTGGTATTTCCTTCTGATAGCATCTAATCCAAAGATTAAAGTTTCCTCTGAAACTGACTGACTCCTTTGTTTATTTGTAGCAGTGTGATTTTAATGCTAATCGTTCTAGTCAAGAACACTAAGTGAACATTTTCTTGTGTAATCATCGTTACAAGCGTGGCTCTATCATTTTTGCTGTCTCAAGTCTCCCCTCTGTGTCTTGTGTCTGTCAGACGAGCACACCTGAAGGAGTGTTTTGAAACGCTGAAAAAGAACATCCCAAACATCGATGAGAAGAAAACCTCCAACCTAAGCGTGCTACGAAGTGCGCTGAGATACATTCAGGTAAGCTTCCTTTGTCTGAAATTTTGCCACTGAGTTTGCAAACTGAATGTTTAAAATGTAGTAGGGTGTTCCTTAGAGCTGATTGTTGTACTTTGACCTTTCATCCAAACATAAATGGCTCCGTCTTTTGTACCGGGGAAAACTTGGCTCTCTTTTACTGTCATCTTGAAGATTTTTTTTAAGCAGCAAGAGATGTGAAACGCCTGTGCAAGCTCTCAGTGCTGACATGAGTAGTTAGCTAAAATGTCGTATTCGTACCTTCTGCAAAGACCTATGGCTAAACAGCACCACCAGAAAATAAACGTTTGCAGCATATTCTAACTTCTTGGCCCATTATTAATAACTCATACGCCTCAGCCTGCATATAGCATTCATCAGATGTTAGTGAATGTTGGTAAGACCTGTTTGTACAGGTGTATTGGCACCTGTGATTACTACAGAACAAAGACGCCTCCATTCTTAAGAATCCACAGCACAGTGTGACCTTTAGCATAAGGTACAGGAGGAGTGGCACAAGGAAAGCCTGCTCCCTACCAAGGGTAGAAGCAAGAAAGAAGGACACAATGTACAAGATACGTATGTAGACGTAGGATTCATTTACACACTGTGTAGTATCCATCTGTCTTTGTTAAGCATTTACTATAAATAGTCACAAGTGCACGTTGTTGTAGTGGCCGAGAAGCACGAAAATTTAATTGCTATTGTTTCGATAATGGATTTTAAGCCAGTAATTACATCCGATAATGCACAGCACGCATCACGCAAACAACAGCAGACTTTCTACTTCCTGTTTAGCCACATGTTAGTACAAGGGCGGGACTACTCATCCACACATACAGAGGACACTTTGTGACTTAAAAACAGGGATTGAATGAGGTTATCTTGTTTGAATTGGCACCGCCATCGCTTTTGATCCCTGTAGTTGCAACGAATAAAAGAGACAGTACTAGCAATAGACCGAGAAGTTTTTTCCAGGGCAGACTGTGATTATTAGTAATCCTGGAGATTAATAGTTGATATCTGAAACCTATATACATTTGCATTAAAATGATTATCTAGGTATCAAAATTCTGAATCCCACAAACTCCAACAGAAGTCTTGTTTAAACTTTGTTTATTGATGTTTCACATAGGTTTTATTAAAACAGAACTTTTTTTTTTTACAATTATCCTTCAGTGTTATAAGGCAATTACTGATGACCTGTAAGCAATCAGATAGTGCTGTGGGTGGGACATTGCTAGAGACCACAGAGAGGTGGCTGCATTAGAACCAAAGCAGTGCTGTTTTCATTCATTTATTTTATCTAGAATTGGTTAAACAAAAATGGGAAAAATGCTAAATATCAGATTCAATAACTGTCTGATGTATATACAGTAAGAGTAATTTTAATAATTGTTGAACAACAGAACATAAACCTTCAAGCATAAATCACTCAATGTACTTTTTAAAAACAAGATTATTACAAACAAACTAATGTATTGTTAATACTAGAATTGATGACTTTTTTATAAGCATTCACGCTGTAATAAAACATGTATTCTTTTTAAACTTTTGCAGTAGTAAGAGTAATACTGGTTATCACCATGGTATCTGCTACAACAGATAATTATGCATTACTGTTACTGGCCTAAAATTCCATATCTCACATCTTTATTATTGGTAATATTTCCATCTTCTTCTTGCTTGGTGCTTTTATTGAATTTAGACCCAGGCTGCCTTTTCTTGCACTTCTTGTCATTTGCGTTTTGATTTGTGTTTGATCTGGCTTTAATTTTTTAAGTCTTCCTCATTTGAACCATTGTTAAGTGTCCACAAATGAGTCGCCTTGCACATGAGTCAGGCACTCACTGTGAGAGTATCCTGGTTGTAAACAGCAGTGCAAAGGTCCACCACTGGCCTAGTTTAACTCTTTCAGACAGTGACTGTGCTGCTGAGTGTGTCAAAGTGTTTATTGAGGATGTAGATGGATCCTCTTGGGTGGCAGGTATTAATGTTAGGCAAAAGTTCACCCATTGATTCAAGGACACTTCCGGTTTTACAAGTCTGTCATATGTTGGTACATATTTGTGCTGTAGTTATTATGGTTACATGATCCAGTTGCCTAGTGCTTATCATCATTGCAAGTAGTATAACAGTCGTTATTGATTTTATACGTGTCTAGTTAAGACTAGGGCTTGGTGTTTAATTTGCATGCTACTAAAGATACTTACTTTTTATTTGCTTGTAGATTATATGACACAGTCATATTTGATGTGTACTGCTTGGTTATGAGCTTTTAAGGCCTCTGTGTTTGAACCAACCCTGTCAATATTATATAACTGTGGTGCAGGTTTACTCATGTTAATATTGAGGAGGACAGTGTGCTGCTGATTTGATGCTCTGAGAAGCAGCAGTCTGGTTATTCCTCTCAGTGCGTGGATACTGAGGAAAACTAGGACAGCGTGGGTGCACAGCTCGTCACCCAATCTCCCTCCCTGTGCCCCTCTCTGTGATTAAGCAACACGGTGTGTGTGGTGAGCTCAACTGACCTGCCTGTCTTTTCTTTCTGACAGGAGCAGAGCCGGCCAAGGGCTATATTTAAAGCAAATAAAGTGAGGAAAAATGTCGTAGCTGATACCATTTTATACACAAATGCCAAGTCTTGTCTAGTTGGACAAAGTTAGCCCTGTGTTATAACAGTCTCTGTATTGTAGGTCACAGCAGTTTGGCTGCTTTTGTAAGTTTACTCGTACGTGCCTCTTCATCTCAAGGTGGCTTTTTTTTTTTTTCATTGGTCAGGCTGGTGCTGTTTTGTTTTGTATGGGTGGAGTACAGCATGGGAACTTTGGGTGGTGGGGCGCACGCCTCCCCCCAACAAAAAGGCTGAACACGTGCACACACTGCCATCTTGACATATGTGGAACAGACGCGTGTCCTGCCTGCATATACCTCTCTCCCTGAACACTGCCTCCTCCCTCCCCGCCCCTGTCCTTGCCCTCCTCTGGGCTGGCAGCACAGAAACAGCTTGTACACAAAAACACTGTCCTCACAGGAGGTTCAAATAAGCGGTTTTGAGCTCAGAATCGCATTCCATTTCATTTCTCTTGCATCGTAACTCGGGTGTTCATTTATAAATGGCCAGAGTTCCTGCAGTAGTGGGCGTATTTGATCTGTTTCCTGGAGAAAGTCACTAGTTTACAGCTACGCAGCTCAAGTTGCACTTCCTTATTACATCTCTTGTGCAACATGACTCAGCGATTATGACCAGAGGCATTAAATACAAACAGATTATTTTGCTTATTGATTGTCAGTGTTTTTACGTTACCACGGCTATAAATGGGTTTTACTTGAAATGTGTTACATCTTGTTCCTAAAGGCTTTCCTCTTGAGCCTGTAGTGGTGCTGCGAAAGCCGAGGCTGTAAAATAAGCCCTGATGCATTAGCGCTCCTTCTCTCTACTCCCCCTCCCTCCCTCCTGCCTCCCTCCCTCCCTCCTGCCTCTCTGAGCTTTTAAGGCCACATGAGCAGCAAGCACATGGCTAGCCTGAGCCGCGTGACGTCACACCCCCGTGCTGGGCCCCCGCCCAGCACTGCAACAGGCAGGACTCTCCGTACCGCCAGGCTTGGCTTGCCAGCAGCAGGGAGGGAGCATGGAGCCGTAAACACAAGGCTCAGTTTACTCCACTTGCAGTTCATATCCCCCTCAAAGCTGACTGAAATTGTTTCTCCAATGCTTGTCCCCAAATGCCTGTCTGAAACGTCCTGTGCCATTTTTGTATTCACTGTGCCCTGGAATGTTAAAAACAGTCTGGCTTCCTTGCTACTCGAGAGTAGTGCTCTTGAATATTATTCGGTTTATTTTTTACAGGATAGATGTTTTTTGTAAGTATTTTCAAGCTTACTCTTGAAAAAAAATCTTGAAACCCTGAAAGGTTATTCTATATTTTTTGCAGTAACACAGCCAAACTCTATAACTGACTGTTAAATCTGCTCTGGCACGTAAGTAATGATAAAAAAAAATCTTAACATCATCGTTATGGATGTTATCTGTCCAGTGGTTTTACATTGTAAGAACAACCGCTATGTAACTGCGCAGCTATATTAAGACTTCCAGTATTCGTGGACCACTGACTGATAGTTCTTAACCAAGATGAGGTAATTAGGGCAGCTATGAACAACACGAGCTGGAATGGTGAGCAGAAGTAATTCTTTTTTCCATAGACAAGCCTTTTATTGTTGAAATCGGCCACCACGTGAAGTTCTTAGTTCCAGCCTGAAGGCACAGTAAGACAAGGGTTTATGGTTACCACACTGTCACAAGACCTCGGTGCAGAAGCCCGATCAGTCATCCACTCTGAGCAGCATGTCTGCAACGTGGCCTCCTGTGCTCCTGGCCCTTTAAACCCAGCCTTGTGCTATGTGTCCTCGGCTGCTGCAAAAGTGAGTCAGTGAGTACAGCTTGTATTGCTCTCTTTCAATCCCCCGCTATCTGCCGCCCTCCCCCTCCCGTTCTCTGTGGGGCCATGTGCTCGGCACTCGCATTGCTTGTGACAGCGCTTGAGCAGTGTTTACCTTACGCACACTCGCACACACGAATGCCGCAGCCTGTCTCTGTACTGATCTAGATTTTCACACACAAACAAGCAAGGTGAGGCCTTGTGTCTGTGGAAGGAGGAGGTTTGGATGCCGGGGGGGGTGCGGCCATGTGTAAAGAATCAAAAGGTTGTTGGCACCGTGTGTCCTACCAACCTGGTGACATGATTAACACATTGATGAAGTCATGTGGGATCCATCTGCTGCAGACTTAGTTATCAGGTTTACATGCTTAATCTCAGCTGTTTCTAAAGAGAAACCGCCTGGTAAAAAAGAGCCAGCCAAACCTTTTTGGTGCACGTGTCAGATTGAGTTTTAAAAGGAATTTTTAGATATTGATATACTGTCAGCAAAACTAGACTGCACCTTTTTTGGAAAATTAACGTGTGAATGGTCTTTTAGGATTCCTGAGAAAACCTTGAGAGGCCTTTGGCGGTTTCCCTGACAACCAAAGATGGGGATGTTTTTAGTATATCATGTGTTGAGACCAAGGATGCTGTTAATGCATTCAGACTGAAGTATGGAGCTCCCCAGCTGACAGAGAGCTGTCGGCTGTCTCTGAGAGCTGTTCATCATGAGTTACACATCTGTGGCACATCTGTGATATTTCTGAGTGCGTGATATTCATTAATCTATGGAATGTTTGTGATGTCCTGCTCACTGAACTCCATTCCATTTCCATGCCTCAAAAGAGTACTAAAAGACAAGAAGTTAATTGTATGAATACCAGTCTGCAATACTAGAATTCTTGTGGTTTTCCAGCAGCACTTGACCACCAAATTTCACAAGTAATGAGATGTGTAGCAGTTTGTATGTTAACCCTTTGAACCCCGAAACTGCTGTTGAGGTTGAAAGGCATGTTATCTTTAAAAAAAAAAAAAAAAGAAAAGAAAAAGGAAAAAAAAAAAGGCAAGGCATAATTTATCTGACTCATGAAACTGTAAAGTCAGAAGGAATGGTCAGATCTTTAGCTTTGTGACAAACCTTGAACTACTCATCTGTTTCCTTGGGAAACTTTACTCAAACTTCATATATTGATATTTAATAGAAATCACTTCATTCTACATGTCTAATATAAAAAAAAAAGCCAAAAAGAAACAGTTTACTGTAACGAGTCTATTAAAAAATAAAATAAAATAATACAAAACAAATAATCTGTTTTTAAAAATGAATACTCTGAGCTTATTGCCACGATTGCACATAGTTGTCCCAACATAGAATACTGCCACAGGGACTTTCCAACTATAAAATGTCCAGTTCTGTGTCTATCTTGGTCACACAATGGAAAAAAAAAAATCTATTGTATACGTATCAAGGTTGTTTATGTTAAAGAGATCCGTTGTTGTTTATGTTCCTTTAATTGGCTTAACTGTGTTCTTTTTGTCTTAGTCCAACTAAAATGTGAACTCTGAGTTTGTCTGTGTGTGTGTGTGACTGACAACACTCCCAGTGGGAGGCAGCCAAAGCACAGACCGCTTGGCCCATGCATTTCTAATCCTGGATAAGGACTAGAGACAGGTGCTGAATCGCACAAGGCCCGCCTTTTTGTCCACCTTTGCTATTTATGTACATGTGCATTGTACTAGAGACGCACATGGACAAACAACACTGGCAGAAATCTCACACTTGAAACACAAGTAGGCCACAACTCAAACACAACACTTCTGCCTTGCACACAGATTCTTAGCATCGCACACAAGACGATCTGCACATGCACTCCACACTCAATACACAAATACTGTACACGGTGGCATGAGCACGAACAGGAAGTCCACCCTTTGGGAAAATGGCTTTATGATCCTGAGTCATCAGGTTTCTGGTAGCAGATTTCACAAAGTATCATTTCCCTGAGCTTCTCCTGCTGAGGCCAGAGAGCGTGCAGGATAGTTTGACCAAGCTGCATTTGACTTGAAATAAATCATGTGCATGTATTTTCAGTGTTTGATTTCAAAACACTAATCCTCAACAACATAACTCTACCCTGTTGGTGTGCTCTTAGCCAGCAGTCATTTTGGAGAGAAGTGTTCTGAACAGTAAATAGTTTAGTAAATAATTTTGATTACTCATTGTCTGTTTAACACATAATTCCTGACTTTTGTTGAAGTTTGGTTGAGCTTTCTTACTTAGAAAAAAAAAACCCCAAAAAACTTTTCCTCCTCTTGCCGTGTACACGGAAGTCCAGCTCAGTTTGTTTGGTTTTGTCATGTGTCAGCTGGTTAAGGGAAATTGGGTCACAGAGAGCCATTGCCTGGAAGCACCTCCTACTTTCCATACTCGTCTCCTCCTCCCTCCTCCACCTTCCCTCGTGCTGCTGTAGCCCGGTTATTCTGCTCCCTGCACTCAGGCTCTGGTCTTAGGTTTGTTATTGAAACCGTATTTGTTAGACACATTCCTGATCAATTAGCTGTAAAGTCTGACTCATGTCTAACATTTAATTTTCCCCTGTAGTTTCTCTGTATTAGAGAGAGAATTTTTTTTGTTTGCAAGGTGGCTTTAAAGTTATACTGCACAGCGAATTGCAAAAGTTATGTTGCATACAATGTCAGTACAGAACAATAAAGAAGCCTGGATCAAAAAGCTGTTGCTGCTCACAGGGGTGGAAAAATTTTCCAAAAAAGGACCCTAGTAAAAGAGAAACTAGTGACACCACAGCTTAGAAGTACTATTACAACTCATGCATTAACATTTTTACTTCACTATAAATAAAATGTATTTGCATTAAAACATGATTAATGTACCAAAAGTAAATATAATGTACATTTTAATGTTAGATTGTTATTTTTGATTAATTTCAATTGCATCTATTTAAAGCTACTGCTGGTAAATGTGGAGTTGATTTTAACTGCTGCATGTACTATAGGCAGCCAAATCTTTAATATACCACAAATGAGTTTTTAATTGTACTGTATTCATATTGTGAATTAGTTTAACAACTGTAACTGCAAGTGAACAACTAAAAAGTACAGTGTTTCAGTATTCATGGAAATAAAGTACTGAGGTAAATGTGCTTATTTACTTTACAACACTGCATGGTGACATTAAAAACAAATAAGGGATGCTGTGAATTAGTGCGAGTGATTTTATTTCTGTGTACACATATAACATCTGACCCAGTATCCCTTAAAAAAAACATTTTGGACAGAGAGGGGTTGATTCTGCTCTGTGCTAATTTTGAGGTTGTCGTGGTGTTATTTATTCCATCATATTCAAAAGTGCCTGGAATAATTAGTCAACCTACATAACATACTTCACAAGGGGAACATGAATTGATATATATGACAGTCTAATACAAAACCATCAAGTAGATTTATATCTAAATATACACGTGTCTGTCAGAGTGACAACAAAACACAGGCTTCACTGTGAGGTTGTCGTACTGGATGATGACATTGCACTGTATATGTGAGTCTAATAAACAGTTAAGTCTGTGCACAGTTATTCGTGGTAGCTCATAGTATCATGAAATTGCTGTTTCCACAAATTTGACCAGTTTTCTGCTTTCTCCTTTCAGACATTAAAGCGCAAAGAGAAGGAGTATGAGCACGACATGGAGCGACTGGCCAGGGAGAAGATCGCCACCCAACAGCGACTAGCAGAGCTGAAGAACGAGCTGAGCCAGTGGATGGATGTGATTGAGATTGACCGTGTCCTCCGACAGACGGTCCAGCCTGAGGAGGACCAAGCCTCGACCTCCACAGCCTCAGGTAGGTGGACGGTCAGGGTGGGAAGGCCAAAACCTGCCAGTGGGTTTCCAAGGCATGCTGTTTTTAAACGTGTCAAAATTACACCATTTATCAAAGGTGGAAATAGTGAAAACAGAAAGAATTAACGCTTTCCCAACTTTCCAACGGTCCTTGAACTTATATATGTCTGAAAAATCAAATCAGACAAATCAAAGCTTAAAATATTAATAATATAACATATATTTCCTTCATTCTACATGTATCATTGAAAACATTCCCCGAAAAATGTTTCCTCCTAACTATATTAAAAAATGTAAAAATAAATTAAAAATTCTACTCTTCTCTGCACAACCGAGAAGCTATGACTGACTCAGCTGTGACGAACAGTCGTGACAAAACTTGTGACCTTTTGACTGAACTCCAGGCTGTGTTTACACACAGCAGATAGGTGACATGTCTGGTGAAAAATTAAAAATGCAAGTAGCAAAATATCTACAGTATGCAGAAACACATTTTTTCTGTGTTTGTAATACCAGTGTGCACTCTGAATAATGCTGATCCCATGTTTTTTCATTTTTTTTTGTATAAACAGTAATTAGAGAAATTCAACTTTCCTTTCTCCGTTTTTTTTTTTTTTTTTTTTTTGTTTATGCCATTATAACATCATTAAACTGCAAAAACATATATTTAGTTCTGTCTACTTCCAGACATGGTACAGTACTTTATATTGCAGTGAACAATGAGCCCACAGTGTGTAAAAATGTGTCAAGAGCAAAGAAAAAGCCCAGCAACTGCTTGGAGTTCAAATGAGTTAATGGATATTCTGGTTTGTCTGAAGTGCATGTAGGATATTCGGGTGAAAACCTGCTCCCTCCACGCTTTAACATCAGATATGGGACTGTAGCACTAAATCGTCTTTTAAAAGCCAGGTGCAAAATCAGATTGTACCTATTAATACGGTGCTTTTTCATTTGTTGGTGTTGCAGAAGGCGAAGACGTTATGGATGATGACCCGGATGAAGAGACAGCACTGAGAGTGCAAACTGCCTTACCCGCTGTGCCTCAAACCATGAAACCTGAGTTGCACAAGACTGCAACGCCCATTCAGACCCCAACACCGGCACCCACCACCGCCACTACCTCTTTCATCCCCCAACACATCTCCATGCAGCACAAAGCCCCTCTGCAGCAGCCCCAGCCGCTACCAGTGACTCCTCTGCAGCCACTGTCCAAGCCTGTACTCACAGCCACTACATCCAGCACTCCCACCACTCCCAGTCAGCCTCTGATCCCCACCCAGACACAGGTGGTGACCACGCCCAGTCTGCACCCCACAGTTATTGCCCACGCTTCAGTGTCCCATCCCTCAGTCATCCAGGCAGTCAACCATGTCATCCAGGGAGGGGGTCCCAAACACATTGCACACCTGGCTCCCTCCACCACCACCAGCTCTGTGCAGTTAGCCCCTGGCCACCAGCCCATTGGCCACATTACCGTGCACCCAGTGGCTCACCTGAGCCAGCATTTACCTGCCCTCTACCCTCAACCAGTGGCTGTCACACAGCCAGCTGTGGTGGGCCACATCACTCACACAATAAATCACCCACACCCTCAGGTGAACGGCACTGCACCCACCCAGCCAGCCACCATCGTTGGTAAGCAGACAACAGTGAGCACCCAAATGATGGCACACCACCCACAGCTGGTGGGTCAGACGGTTCTTAACCCTGTGACAATGGTGACCATGCCCTCCTTCCCCATCAGCACTCTGAAGTTGGCCTGAACATCACCAACAGGACCACCAGGCTGCAGACAGAGGCACCCCATGACAGGGGAGAACCACAGGCCTCGGATCAGGCCATCAGTCCACCATAAGGGCAGGAGAGCTGCTGAAGACCTTCACTATCATTCAGAAGCATTGCAGTGGACAGAAAGCCGGGAACAATCAGAAAAACTGCAAACCTCTTTCCATACCTACCACAGTGTCCTGAAAACTTGATCCTGAATGTAGGACGTACCAGACTGCATGTGGTTTATAGTCATCATGTTGTGTGTGTGTGTATGCTGATCACAGTGGGCAGATGTGCAGTTTAAGGCCCTCACTTTCCACCCATTGTTGCAGATAATGGAGCAGTAGTTATTTTCACATGAGCTTAACAGAAACAGCTTCATATAGAGAAATGTTGCGTTGCCAGTACAAAGTCCAGACAGTGTAGGATCAGAAGGTTGGACCACCATACCCAGCACACTGAGAATGTGATTTAGAGGAGCTCCTCCTTCCCAGCTGCAGCACATGCTGTAGAGCTGGAGCTAAATCATGGACTGAACTAATCCCCTGCGCTGGAGCTGCAGTCCTCAGTGATGGTGCATACAGTCATACCTCCCCCTGCTGGCTGTTTGTGTTCAATGTAAAACAACTATCTGTGACGAGGAAAAAACATTGTTCATGACGTATAATGCTGATGGATATCAATCTCACCGCAGCAACTTACAGTAACAAAAAAAATATGCAGTGTTTTCAGGGATTGGTTTTTAGTGTTGGAATTAAAGGACAATCAAATTGTTACTTATCTTTATTATTTGTCATTCAAACATACTATCGATTGTACACAGAGCACAAGTACAAGTTAGTGTTTTAGGATCAATTGTTAAATTTTTGTCTCAGCTGCTACTATATTCTAAATTTTGCCAAATAGCTACATGCCCCCTAAAGATAAACACAACAGACAGAGGCAACTTTATATGTTTTGTCAGAAATAAGAACTCAGTCTGATTCTACAAGGTGAGGTCTGGGCAGCTAGTTTAGAGATTTTGAATGTGAACACAGAAAAGGTCCGGAACATAAAGTGTGTTTCTATGCTGTCTTGTAGCGCAAATGGTCGTAGGATTGTGTGTCTGCATGCTGTGAATGCATGCCATGACTGTGTTCATGTAGTGATCGTTATGAATGCGAGGACCTATAGCAGTGCTTTCTGTTGTTTAAGTAGTTGTTGGTATAGGAATGTGTAAGATTTTGTGGCGCAGACTTTAAGCTCTGTCATCCAAAACTTTGGGTGGAATCGGTACAAAGTGACTTGAACAGCCGACATCAATCCAAGTAATGTGTGCTTGTTCAAGACTATCCTTTTCCAAAGCTAGCACTGTGAAAATCTCTACTAGTCTCAATGAGCAGCCGACCTGCATTTTAATATAGCACTTAGCAGAACAGCATAACGCTGTCCTCTCCTAATTTAATCTGAATGTACTGATCTGTGACAGGATATCGAGTAGCGCACTCAGCAGAAGTTAAACCCTTTTTTTTTTTTTTTTTTAAACTGCGATTACTTTATTAAAGTATCAAGCGTATGTACCATTTAAAACTGATTTTGTATTTTAAGATTTACTGTTGCTTGTTTCATCTGGAGAATAACTTCTTCTGTTTTAATGTACATTTTATATTATAGCATTTTTTTTTCTTCTTCCTGGGACCATGTACAGTGCTGTATATGAAGGGGTGACTACATAGACCTCTCCCCATGTTGATATCACATTTGGCCACTTTGGAAAGTATTCACCCCTTAATTTTTTTGTATTTTGTTCTGATACAATATGAGCAGGGACGTTGTTTTTTGCAGAACTAATTTATTGCAAAGATAAATTGCCCCCTTTTTCACTTTTGGATATCATGCAAGTGACCCTGATTTATTGTATTTTGATATCATATTGTATTAAAACAAAATGTATTAAAAGTTAACAGGGATACAGATACTTGAAGAAGCAACAATATACTTGTGTGTTTTTCCCTATGGAGAAAGTTTAAGGTGTATATAGCCTGTAAATATTGGGCTGCATTTAGATCTAACTGTATTGTGTAAAAAGCTGGGGAAGATATGTAAAATTTAAAATTTATAAAAAAAACGGAAAAAAAAGAAGAAGGTATACTTAATAAATTGTATTATGTTTACAAATGGCTGGAGTTGCTTTTTTGTCTCTTTGAACAACGTGGTCTTTTTTTTTTTTTTTTTGTAGAAATATGAAGACTTGGATTACATTATCACAAGACACTCCTTCGCTCAGGGAAACAACTCAACCTCAACTCAGAGGAAACACCCCACCAGTTTTTTGGCAGAGAACCGTGGCCTCAGACGAGGATGCGTTCTCTCTGATCCCTCAGGAGTTTAAATATCTTAGGATCTTGTTCATGAGAGACAAGAAAATGGGGCGTTTTATGGAGTGTCAGCAGAAATGCAGGCTTTGTATCGTACTATTGTGGTGTAGAGAGAGCAGTTTTATTTTCAGGACATTCTG